AAATTGGGAAAAGTCTCGTCCTGACTCTGATGACAGAACTTCTGAAGAAAGGTCAGAAATACATGTTTCTGAAGCTAGTAAAGACTCTGACTCTGAAGAAGATACAGAAGGAGAAGATGATTCTGAATCTGACTCCGATGGTGATCCAGACTCTGAAGACAGTCAAGGTTTTGGAGAAAGTCCAATTTCTGAAGCAAGTGCTTCTGAAGGGGAAATTTTTGAAGAAAGTCCAATTGCTGAAGCAAGTGCTTCTGAAGGGGAAAGTTCTGAAGGTCCAGTTCAAAGGCAACAAAGAGTCAAAAGCATCCCAAGAAGATTTGCAGAGTTTGACATGTTGCTAGACACTGAAGTAAACTCTGAAGGAGAAGTTATTCAGTGTGCAATGTTAGTAGACTCTGAACCCGTGAGTACGAAAGAGGCTCTTAAGCACCAATTTTGGTTACAGGCCATGAAAGAAGAACTTGGTGCTATAGAGAGAAACAAGACTTGGAAGTTGACAGAACTTCCAAAAGGCAAGAAAACTATCAGCGTCAGATGGGTTTTCAAGCAGAAGCTAAATCCAGATGGATCAATTGGCAAACACAAAGTGAGATTAGTAGCAAGAGGCTTCCTACAGAAGCCTGGGCTGGATTACTTTGAAGTGTTTGCACCTGTAGCGAGACATGAAACAATCAGACTAGTGATTGCAATAGCTGCTAACAGGAATTGACCTCTGATGCATTTAGATGTAAAATTTGCATTTCTGAATGGTCCATTACAAGAAGAGGTGTACGTTTCACAACCTCCTGGATTTGAGAAAAAGAATCAAGAAGGGATGGTGTTCAAATTACACAAAGCATTGTATGGGTTGAAGCAAGCGCCCAGAGCTTGGAACTTGAAAATTGATTCGTTGTTTCAAGGAACAAGGGTTTCAGAAGTGTGAGATGGAGTATGGTGTTTATGTTCAGCACACTTCAGAAGGTAATATGATTCTGGTCTATTTGTATGTTGATGACATATTACTCACAGGAAGTTCTGAACAAGAGATAACTGAGTTCAAGAAAGTTCTGATGAATGCGTTTGAGATGACAGATCTTGGAAAAATGAGTTTCTTTCTAGGGATGGAATTTATATACTCTGAGAAAGGAATCATTTTACATCAGATGAAGTATGAACTAGAGCTTCTGAAGAGATTTGAGCTAGAAAATTGCAAGGTTGCTATCACACCTGCTGATACGAATCAGAAGTTGGATTCTGATTATGATTCTGATGGAGAGGATGTGGATGCTACAACCTTCAAACAAATGGTTGGTTCTCTAAGATATTTGTGTAATACCAGACCTGATATTTGCTATGCAGTTGGAATGGTTAGCAAATTTATGAGCAAACCAAAGTGGTCCAATACTAAGCTGCAGTCAGAATTCTGAGGTATGTGAAGAGAACTTTGAAATATGGAGTGTTATTTCCGTTTGAAAGAAAGATCAAATCAGAACTTCTTAGCTATTCTGATTCTGATTGATGCGGAGATAGAGTTGACAGAAGAAGTACTTCTGGGTACTTATTCAAATTTTTGGGAGATCCTATTTCTTGGTGTTCCAAGAAGCAACCTGTTGTTGCTCTTTCAACCTGTGAAGCTGAATATATTGCAGGTGCTCTGACTGCATGTCAAGTTGTGTGGATTCTGAACTTGCTGAAAGATCTGAAGATTGAGGTGAATAAACCTCTGAAGCTGATGATTGATAACAAGTCTGCAATCAATCTTGCCAAGAATCCAGTGTTGCATGGGAGAAGCAAGCATATTGAGACCAAATATTATTTTCTGAGGAATCAAGTTCAGAATGGAATAATAGAGGTTGTGCACTGTAGCACTCAGAAGCAGCTGACAGATGTTCTGACAAAGACTATCAAAACTGATCAATTTCTTGGTTTAAGGGATGGAATTGGTGTTGTCAGTTTTGGGCAAATATAAATTAAGGGATGATGTTAGAATTAATTTAGATTTAATTAGATATTAATTTATATTTAGGAATATCTTTTAGATTGTTTATATCTTTGTTAGAAGATATAAATCTTAGATCTTCTTATATCTTTGTAGAAGATATATTTTAGATTTAATTTGTTTGTATAAATAATCTAGTGGAGTAGGTTATTGTAATTCATTATAAATTCTTATTTTTAAAACTATGAGTAAATATTTCTTTTGACTTTTATCTTTCTTATGTTCCAACAATGAAAATGAAAATATATCGTTCAAATCGAAAATTTTCAAAATAAGAATATTCATAGACACTTTTATTATACTATTTATATTTAGAAGTCACTCTATTAGGATTAACTGTATAACTCAAAATATTTAGTTAAAGTTTTTTCAAAAACAATTGTAGAATGATTATTAGTCTCATTTTTCATTTTCTAGTTTTTTTTTAATTAATAAAAACCCAAACCACAAAAACAAATATTTAAAATGGATTGGTGAAAACTTATATATAGAATCCACTGAAAGTGGGAGACTAATAGCATGTTAAACTTTGTATTTCTAATCTCAAATAATTTCAAGCATTGTTCAATTGGACAAATGGTTTGAAACTCCAAAGTTTCACTATACGTGGGATTTAGAAGAATGATATAAAATGTTCGGATAAGATTTTATAAGGTGGGGGGCTAAACATAACATATAGGCCCACTAGAAGGATGATGATTAATCAAATATAATATTTTTAAAATAATAATAATTTCATTAACTTATTACAGGTTTTAAAAAAAAGAATTTTAAGTATAATATTATATTCTCGAAATAAATTATTAGAAAATAATTATATTTTTATTAGAATTTTATTAAAAAAAATATTTTTAGATAAAAGATATGAAATAACCTCTAATAATTTTCATATTCTTATAGTTTTATTTTCATGTAAAAAAAGTGGGGATGTCCATTTCCATAAAATTTTATATAATTATCAATATTCTTAGGATCATCAAATTATATGTCAAATACTTTTTTTTTAAATACTTGAAAATTAAATTTTAATATTTTTATTTCCAAAAATCATTTATGAATTCTTAAAAATACACTCCTTAATTATTAAATATGTTTAGATTACATATCCAAAGATAGCTCAAAGAATGATGTTGCCTAAATATATTTATGTATTTATTAGTTCGACAATTTAAACAATGTGGACTCCAACACAACTTCAACATCCTCCTTCATATTTAATATAAAATCGGTTGAATTTCTACATTGTAGTGCTTAATCCGAATCTGCTATCATGTTGAAACTCTATAAGACATGAGAAATATTTGTATATTTTTTATGTGTTTATAAGTATGTGCTCCTATTTATATAAAAGAATATAAGACAAAGAGACAAATACAATAATTAACATAAAGCTTAATTGATCCTAACATAATTACATATCAATTACAATAATTAGAGAATCATAATCAATCGTTACATCTCCCTTCAAATTCAAGTGATGGGAGATATAACCAACTTGAGTTTGAATACTAAAGTGCAGAAGCCATGAGAATGAACTTTTATAAATAAAACCAATAGGCTGATCAAGAATATCAATGAAGATGACAAAGTTTATTTCGAAGAAGATGTTGATGAATGAAGTAACAAAGATGAGACGAAGTTCACCGTGAAGAAGATGTTAATGAATGAATTGACAATCAATTCAAATATGCATGGTTCGATTTGAATGACATTACAATTGTGAAAGATAATATAGACACACTTTCTTAAAAGTAGTATCAACAAAGTAAATATGAACCTCATTTCAAAATAACATAAAGAATGGCGTTCTTCAAACATATTTATACATTTAACTTCAACACATCTTTGAGACTAACTACTTAAAATAAATATACAACACTTGATAAACAAAGTTGTGAATTACAACATGTTCTGGAATGGCCAATGATCCTATTGACAAGGCTCAATCAATGCTAAATCCACTCTACTCGACTCAATATATAAAAATAGTTAACATGCTAAGAGCAAGGTACAATCTCTAATATACACTTTCGTTATACTCATCTTAAATCTTTAACTGACAGGGGCTTGGAGTGCTAATCATGTATGTCTATCCCCACGCCACCATAAAGGAGATCAGAGCCACTGTTCAAGATCACTAGTTATTCAACTATCTTAATTTTTTGTTCCTAAGATGAGCTGGAGCATCCATTTTCGGTTCCCAAATGGAACAATAGCACCACCTATGAGAATCGACTTCTGATTTCTACTATTTTTGCAAAAATCACGTTTACTTCACAAACACCACCGAACAAACTCCGAATTTCTAGATCTGGATTCTTGCGATTCTAGATACAGATCTCTGATTTTCCAGCTCGTAAACTCTTTAGGTTACCAAATCAAGAGTGAATCAACTTTTGATTTCTATGTTCTTGCTGAACTCAGAATCGCCTTTCAATTTCATCGCTCATAACCTTCTTAGATCCTAGAATCAAGAAGCGCTCAGAAGCAAAATTAGAGATCTATCATAGCCGGTTCGAATGGTCATCTTCACATACAAGATTCTCCGAAATCTAGATCTTCAATTCTCTTGGAAGATCTACAAAGTGGAAAAAGGAAGGATCTAAAAGTCAGACTAAGGGTTTCTCTAGTGTGCAAAGGCTATGCCCATTAAGATCACCCCGAGAATTTATGGTCCCGCCTTTTAAAGTTATTTGTATTTCTCTTCACAACTGGGGAACTTATTGTGGCGACCTAGAAGATACTACAAGTTCACAGTTAACATCAGGCACATATCAAGTCTAGGGAACCTTCTATAGGTACCAAAGGATCTTCGACCATTCGGTAGGCCTACCTCGTGTCAAATCTGATGTCCCCCTTATTCCTTGGTCCAGTTCTATAAACAAAAATTACTCTGAGGGAATTAGATAGAGGGCATCGAGTATCCAAGCACAAAAATAACATTCCCGAGCGACATTACTCAGGGATTGGATAAGCTGATGAGCTAGTCCCTTTGATCATATCGACAAAGTGAAAGGGTATGTCAGCCATAGGCTCCAGACAAAGGCATCTTAGATATCAACGGCTTCCTCCGATCATCGCTCGGCCTCACCATTCCAAGGGAAAAAACTCGGATATGAGAGTTCTATGAAACCAACTTCCTCTCACTTTGAAAAATGTAAAAAAATCTTTTATTTGAATTTCTTTCTTCTTCAACCTTGTTTTGATGTCAGATCTTGATAATGAGAGATCTATGATTGATTAGGAGAGAAATTGTCTTGAACCTAATCATTCTTAAAGATTGGGTAAAGATTTTCAGGTTCTTGCGAAATTGAGGAGTTGTCATTGAAAAATGGAAAAACACAAGAATGGGATTGAATTGGAATCTTAAAATTCAATGAAAAGAACACGTTGATTTTTATCATGGTTCATTTAAACTCAAATTACTCTAGTCCACCCGTCAAGGTGATTTCGCCTCTCTCCAACGAGGTCTTAATCCACTAATCAATCTTGATTACAAATCTACTTTGACAAATGCCAAAGTCTTCTTGAGTATAACCAAAACCCGGTTTTTCTCAAGGAAATGCACTAAATAATATAAGAATAAAACAATGTACAATATTGTTTATTTCAAAACAGTATCACAGTATAGTGATGTTTTACACAATTGAAAGTATTGAATGTTTGAGGATTAGAAATGATTGCAGCGTTGTTGAGTGTTGTGAAAATTGTAAACGATTTATCCTCAAGTCTTGTTTAAATAGGCGCAGCATGGATGATCATTTGGAAACTTGATTAATGACAATTAAGGTGCTTTCCAAAAATAAAGATCCTTGTTCCCTTCCAGCCGTTACTCCTGAATTGGAAATATTGTATTTATAATGCTTCAGAACATTGAAGTATACGTTGTTGCTTACTTCAGAGCTTTTGAAGGTCAGAGCCATAAGATCTTGTTTGCAGTGTTAGACTTACTTTCCCAGAGTTGTGTAATCAGAGTTAAAACATATTTATTTTAGCGCAACTTCTGATCTTCTTTCATCAGAGCTTTTTGAGAATTGTCTACATTCACAGCAGGAACAACCTTGTAACTTATCTTCTGATCTTCTTCCATCAGAACTTCTCTACAAAACATAATATAATTTTAGCACTACAAGAAAAATGATAGATTGGGACGGTTATTTTGGCTGATTACGACGGTTAAAACCGTCGCAATTTACAATCTACGACGGTAGAAGTACCGTCGCAGAATCGTGCGTCCCCAGCCTATTTCGCGACGGTTGCAAAAACTGTCACGCACAACAGATAGCGACGGTTATATACCGTCGTGAATTTGACTTTATTTTTTGTTTTTGTTGTTGTTTGCGACGGTTATTCTACCGCCGTAGGTTAGAAATTGCGGCGGTTTTAACCGTCGTAATCTGATTTATAAATTTCAAATAATATTTTTATTTAAATTATTATTTAGTAAAATAATTTTAAATATAATATTATTTTACTATAATATTTTACTATTATATTTAAATTATTATTTACTTTAATATTTTTTTATTTATAGTATTTTTATTTTATTTTCTATCACTTTTCAACATAATAAAGTTAATTACAATAAAAACATTTAATATCAAATAATCATCAATAATATCAAAAAAATGTGATCAAAGGTAAAAAGAAGTGCAAATTTTACCAATAAACAAGAAAAATTCAAATATCATCAAAGGCCAAATTTCATTTTAATATTTACATTGGTTTGCTACAACTTGAGAGAATTACAAAAAATGTTACAATATTCTACAAAATTCATGAAAGTCCTTAGTGTTAAGTGATTTTGTGTTAAACTTCCATGCTAGGACCATGATCCTTCCTTGACTACCATTTGGTCCAAGCTACGCATACCTAGCAGCCTGCAAGATTCACACAAAACATATTTTTGTACTCACAAGAACATGTGGCAGGTTTTTGGCATCATAATATGCCTCAGATGGCTTAGTCAATGTCTTTGTGATGACATGTTTTTCCAATTCTACTTGTCCATTTTGCGCTTCTTCTTGTACCTGCATTACAAAACTAACTGTCAATTATGGGCTGGCAGAATAACTCTCACAATCAAACTCCAATTGTATGAAAAGTTATAAGGTACAGAAAAATCAACTACAACAAAATCTCCAATAAAATAAAATTCACTTTCCGCTAAGGAGAAACCTAATCAAATTTGGATATGTATCAAGGCGTCTTGGCGACAAACTTCCCTGTTATAGCATTTGAATTTTCAGCAAAGTGTAGGAAGCTCAAAGATCCAAGTATATTTCTTTTTAAATTCTACAATCGCATGCGTTTATGATAAGAAAAAGTATGATACAATAAGACACCACAAATATTTACTCTTCCAATTTAAAAAAGAAAACATTAAGTTAAGTTGGGGCATTTTTAAAAAACCATTGATGTTAATAATCGCATAACAGATCTTTGTTGTTTGACATAACAGAAAATATGTGAACTTGTATCTGTAATGCATGCGAGTTTTTTTACCATAGTGAAATTATTATAAAAAGTAACATGAGTGTTATACTTACATTCAAAAAGTAAAATTGGAAAACATTTCCAAACAACATGTAGATCAATAAAGAATTTGTTGTGCTTAATTGACAAATACCTCAGGTTTCTTGATATAGTAATTTGAGTGGCAGCCATATAACATTGCCAATGCTCCGTGTGAAGCCATGGCTTTTTGCGTGAAAGAGTGAACACCCTGCTCCAGCCTTATGATAGTCCGCTTAGTTTCTTCGTGTTGATATATTGATACTAAATTGTAATCAGAATATAAATTGTTAATCTATAATAATGTCAAAAGAAAACGATGAATTACACAAGCAAATTAAATTAAATTTTTATAGAGACATGTGGATTTTTTGTTCTTTTGATAGACATAGGTTATGGCAAAAACATTCACGAGAACTGAGCCTATCCATTGCCCAAATAGCTGAAGCACCCTCACATACCATGAGATAGCATAAAAAATCAACAGGAAATAGAAGTGTTCTTTAGTTGAGCCACTAATTAATACTAGTTGTCTCTTTTTTCAATAGGAAATACAAAAGCAAATTAGCAAGTAGCACAAACCAATAGTATTACCTTCTTCATTCTCATGTATGAGCCATATATTTCATTACCATGTATCTATCGTATAAAGTTGTATGTTGCAATGTCACGACTATTAACAAGTCTTGTCTAGTTACGACACTAGTCTGAAAGGAACTTTCATAAAACTAATAAACCAATTTTATTCCCAAAAAAAAAAATAGTAACACATAAACTTTTTGGTCTCAGAAGGAACTTGACAAAAAATTATACTAACGGGGTTTAAATTTTCTATTGGGGTGAGGGGGAGCGTCATAAAAGCATTTTTCAATGGATGAACGAATTTACATGTAAAAACAAAAACACTATAAACCTAGCATTTACCAATTTAAGTGAAGCGAAAAGTTTCACCAAGCTTACATTTTTCTAAAAGCTCTTCAGCAAACTTTAACATTGCATCATTCTCCTCGACAAACTTTGCATATCTTTCTGTCTCCTTGACTGCCTCAGCAGCCAAAAATGACTTATTCTCTGCATCAGAAATGACTTAATACAATGTTGCATATTTCCTGTCACTACTATATGGTTTCACAAACTTTGTTTTTCATGCATTGTATTAATTTTGGATATATGTTTGGACAAACTTTTCCACAAGTAGTTATAGAACAGAAAATTTTCAATATGAAATCGACAAAGTTTTAAAAAAAGGGTTATCTTACCACTCTGTCTGTTAACATGATAATTTGATCAATAGACAACACTTCAGACATGAATGCCTCATTCTTAATAATGACACCTTTCGGTTCTCCGGTTGTTCCACTTGTGTACATTATTGTGCAAATATCAGTCTTCTTTTTCAGTGGTAGATCCCAATCTAAACTTCCCTGAAGCAGTTGAAAACAAGCTTATCAGTTCAGTTTTAGCAAACTGTTGTAAGAGTTTGATTCTTCTTGAATCGAACCATGAACGTTCATAGTAACCGTGACTGTAACCACAGTTTAAAACACTAATATCTTACCAACTGGAGAAACTCTTCCCAGGAGAAGCAGGACGCGCCAAATTCCTCAGCTTCCTTCTTTTGTGCGGCTGAAACATTTCCAAAGCTCACAATAGCTACAACATTGATTTAAACAGGTTAGTCTGCATTAAATGTAGTAAAAAAAACTTAATCTTAAATAAGACAGGAATGCTTGACCTACTTTTAAGATTTGAAGAACACCGACCAAGACATGACAAAATCTGTGGAAACGAACGTTAGTTTTTTCTCAGAAGATTTAACATTGAAACAGTTAAATGTGTTAGACATTCCATGTTGCAATTGTTAAAACATTGAGCTCAAAAAGCTAGAACATTGAGCTCAAAAAGCTCAAAAAGTTAAATGTGCCACCGCTGCTGCACGTTTAAGGCCTTTTTCAACCGTGATTTTGAGAAGCTGATATGTCTAGCTTCTGTTCACCGTGATTTTCATGTTTTCCACACACGCACTATACCGAGTTGTAACTTTGAGAGAAATGAGAGGACATTTGTTCTTACCAAAAGCTGCTCAAGGAAACAGAAATAAGCAAGCATGCTGACAATGACAAGCACAGGTAACTCCTGCCAAACCCTGTTAAATTGTGCACACAAATTGAAGTGTTACCGGTAGCAATTACTTTTAGTACAAGAAAGATACAAAGAGAACGCTATATTCCATTTATAAACCAATGCACTTGTATCGACCGCAGAAATCCCAAAACAAAATTGACTACATGATAATATTCTGAAGAGTAAACTGAAATCTACAACTTCAATACAAGCAGATCATAGATCGTGGGAATAGCGGTTTGATCAAATTTCGCTACGCAATAATGCTATAGTGCATGAAAGTAAACTAGTTTGGTTGGCCTCATATTTTAGATATTTTCATAAATAATATGCCATTAAAGAAGTTTCCCATAAGATCTCAAGATATGCATATATCTCAAACGAAGCATACGAGTAATAGTTTTTATCAAATGAAAATAACTGCACATGCCTGAAGTCGTCTTCCTGCTGAGACCTTGCTGCGGTATTCTGAGTTTGAACATTTTGGATGCGTAAGAGAGTGACAGGGAGATTCTGAACTTCTTGCTTGCACACATCACATGTCTTGTTACCCCTGATACTGAACCACTTGATAGCGCATTCTTGGTGAGCCAATGCAAGTTCACCTTTGCAACTGCATTCCATCTTCAGCGTCTCACCTCCTTCACATAGCTCAATCAGACAAATCCTACACACAGCTTCCTCTTCAGCTATATCTTCACCGTCATCATCGCCATTTTCTGAACCATGAAAAAATTTTAAGTCGAGTTAATGAAAATGTATCAATCAGCTTTTGTATTGTTAGACTTAATACCTGTATCCTTTTCTGCAGAAGCTTTTAACCATTCTTTAACTTCCTTTGCACCTGGGGTGGAAGGAATAATGCGGAAAAACTTATCCATTTTCCTTATGATTTTTTCTTTGCTATCTACCGGCTCTGAACGAGTGCGAGCTATCGATCCCTGGCTTCTCTACAAAAGGATCAAATTGGTTAAAACAAAGGATATACATGCAAGATTTGGCAACCACTAAAGAATATAAGAATTAGGACTAGAAAGTGGAAAGCATGCTCATTCACACAAACACGTTTAATTAAACTGTTCATCAAAATAGGACTTAACAAGTTAATCAAAAGACAAAATAACCACTATTTCAAAATTGATATTATAAGTTAAAAGCCTTACATATGGAGAAGCACCAAGACATCCACCAAAAGCAAACTCATTATTAACACGCCCGATTTCTTCAACCGGTAGCGAAGAAGTTCTATAAATCTTAGGAGCAAACAGCTTACTCAAAGACACTGATCCTGATCCAGAGACAGAAGGCTTCTCACAAGGACTTTCCGGAGCCAAACTTATCGCCTTTTCAACATCAGATGATGAAGTCCTATTATACGGAAAGTTCAATTTCGGCATAATACTTATAGCACTCGACGATTTTCCTCTTGTGGTCAAATTCCCTAGATTGTTACTATCACTATCCACAATTGGAGCAGCATCAACAGAACGTGAAGTCACAAGAAAATTCACCTTCTTGTGAGTCAGAGTTGGAGTCGGTGTTAATGGCATCTTAATCGCAACAAATTCGTTCGAAAATGATGATGATGAAAATAAGTTTCTAGAAGGTGATTATAAAATGATTAAGTCTGTTATCCGCAATTCAGATGCAACAGAGCACAAACCACATCCACCAAAGTTAAACGGAAATAAATGTACCGATTCAATGTTTAAAAAGTGTATTATTATTAATGTTTTCATGCAACAATTTAAAAGGATCAAAATCAAAGAGACATGCCTTTCGCTTCTTCAGCTTCCCGTGCTTCCCATTTCTTCTACTACCCATTTTGAAGCCCATTGTTTGCTCACCAGTATCATCTTCAAAGGGTAAACCTTTGATTTCATCAAATAAACTTTCTGTTAGGCCTTGCATCCTGGAAAAAATAAACACAGATGTAAGTGTGAGTAAAAAATAAGTAAAAGTGTCATCGTGCATTTGATGCTTTTTATAAAGGCAAAATATCAGGCATTCCCCGTACCCATTGGTTGCTTTCTTCATGTGCTTCTCTTTCTTCCTCTCCTGTTTCGTCATAGGAACACGGGTGAATAGTTCCTCCTCTTGCCTAGACCGCTCATCCGCTTTGCTAACATACTTATCCACTTCTCTACTAGTTCCCATAAAATCTCGTATCTGTGTAGTAAGCAGCAAACACGAACCATTACATAAACACATTAAGTTGTTATGATTCCACGCCCAAAATACACTAATAATTTCGCCAAAATACAATAATTATATCACCTCTTCAGGTCTCCCCTCCATATCATTCACCATTGTTCTGATAAAATCACTTTGCTTAGCCTGTTTCAGAATTTCTCTATCTCTTCGGATGGCATTTCTTTCTTGCTTCGAAGATTTATCCATATCCATAGAAGTAGGAGCAATTCTAGGAGGACGATACACATCGTCACCATCATCATCCTATAACATAAATGAATTAAGTTAGAGAAACAAAAGACAAATATATTTTGCATCATACTATCGCACCTCAAATTTTCAACGATATTATTAAATAAACTCACTTGTGCGGTTGGTTCTATTTTACTAATAAGATTGCCAGGAATTGGACGATACTTTGAAACGTCCTTACTCTTATCAGATGCAGCCGGCACCTTCTCATTGGCATTACTTGTTGCACTTTCACTCGCTTTAATAACTTTCTGGATCTGGTATTGCTGTTTCTTATCAATTGGACGAATCTGCAGCAAAAAACTGTATGTCAGATACACCAAGTCTAACACAAATATACAAAGATGATACACAAGAATAAAACAGACCTTTTCTAAAAATAATCTTATCTCAACTATACTTCGAACAACAGGATGTTCTTCTATAGAATATCCCTTAGCCTTTCGCAATAGATAATAAACAAGGGATTGACAATAATTCAAAAGCAGCAAATTTTTAGCTTCGAGATAACTGAATCCATCTGCCGTAGAACTCTGAGCTTTCACCTGATATAAGAGACACACAAATAATGAAACTCACCAATAACAGAACCAAAAGTCCAAAAAAAAAAGCGCATTCCGACCTTGGCAGTTAAAGTTTGAATTTTGCGGTTAACATTATCAAGACCTTCCTTCATTTCTTTCAACAACGCAGCAAGCTGAGATGCTTCTCTGAAAACAGATTGATAAATAAATAAATTGAATGTTGAATGACGTAACCTAATCTTACAGAGTTCTAATTGGTTGACCTAATTATGTATTGTGATGAAAATAAAGCTTACTTTTCAGTGATATCGTCATTATTGAGATGATTTTCAGGATTCTCCATGTTTTAGTGACAGTGTTCAACAACCTCCAAAGCTGTAGCCAGGGATCGTCAACGAACCTTAGCTATTCGTTGGATCCGTCTCTAGCCGCATTAAAGCCCGGATGGAAAACCCCAGGAAATACCTGGCAAGCCCCTGCTAAACCGCATCTGTTTCGGGTACAGGGGCTTAGAGGGGTGCTAACCCGTCCACCGGAAAGAAGAAGAGCTCAAGGCCGCCACAACATTAGATGACCTTCCACGGGGTGGCAAGCTTTAGAGAATAGGGAAGTTTTGTTTCTCTTTCAGTTGGTGATTGGGGATTGGCATAGTTCTCTTTTCTCGTATGCCCGGAAAATCAAATTGCGGTACAACTCAGCTTTTTTAACTTTTTTACGGCGACGGGTGTTTTACCGTCGTGCCCATGAGAATTTTTAAAGGTTTTGGGTGCGACGGTTGTTTTACCGTCGTGAAATGAATTTTAGGACGGATAATTTTACCGTCGTGAAAGGTTTAAGGGTGCGACGGGTGCTTTACCGTCGTGATATGCCTTTTAGGACAGTTAATTTTACCGTCGTGACTAGTTGTTGGTGAAAAATCAATGTTAAAAGTGTTAAATGGGGGCCGACGGTTGTTTTACCGTCGTAATAATAATATTATGATGGTTAAATATACCGTCGCAAAATAAATATTAGGGACGGTTGGTGTCAACTGTCGTAAACACTGTCTCTATATGTCAATTACGACAGTTATCACATAACTGTCGCAATTTTTGTGTCGTTAAACACTAATTTTCTTGTAGTGTAGAGTGCATAATTATTCTTTGTGTTTGTTATCATCAAAACTCTTACAAGGGTTGTAGAATAAAACTATGTTCTAACAATCTCCCCTTTTTTGATGATGACAAAAACTAGGATATTTTAATCAAAATAAACAGAACATAAAGCATTATAGGGTCTCCCCCTGAGCTAAGTACTCAGATAGAGATGAATTACTTCCCTGAAGTTCATTTTGATCAGAGCTTTTGATGCATCTACTTCTGTCTTCATCAGACTTTTGTTCCTGTTTTACTTTCAGGAAAAAACGAGAAGTTATGATATTCAAAATGTTTGAGATTGTGTCTCGATATACTGTTATTAGAAATATCTTACGTTCTCCCACTTTTTGTCAAGAATCAAAAAGCAATATAAACACTAATATTCAGAGTCAAAAGTTGAGTTGTATTAAACTTGATTGCAATAACATGTTCAAAGGCAAACAAAACAAGAAAAATGAATACAGTAAAGAAAACTAGTTTTAAAAAGCTAAGATTGAGGTGGAGGAAGTTGTATGAACAACGCTTCCAGCGAGCTCTTAATCTGAGTGTTCGATTCCTCTTGTTTTCCCAGCATTCCTTTGATTTATTTGCATGTGTCATTTTTCTTGTCTAATCTTTCCTTGATCACTGCATTTTCTTTCTTCAACTCTTCCAGAGTTTGCATAACCAGAGATGAGGAAGGTATATCCATAGAAGGTGCAAGGTTCTCAGAACAATCTGTAGCAGTTTCTGACTCAGTGTCTTCTTCAGTCTCTTTGCCTTTATCTTGAACAATAACCAGAGGAAGCTTATCATAGCATGGTTCATCAACTTCTGAAGGCTGGCACTCTTTCTAGGGAGCATTATCCAGCAAAAGAATAGGTTTCTTTTCCCAGTGACGCAGAACTTGATCCTTGAAAACATTCAGCTGATCACAGAAGTTTTGTTGGGCCATATCATAGTTTAACTCCTTGAGTTTCTAGGATTCAGAATTGAACCATTTTCTGAACTGGTTCTAGTGAGAATAAGAAGCAGCAGGATTCAGATTTTCTAAGCATGCTAGCTTTAAAGAGTTAAACCATTCAATTATCTCTGTTTCAAAAATCAGTAAATTTCTACCAACATTTGCCTTGGTGATAGTTGGTTTTGGTTTTGGGATAGCAATTTTGTGAGAGTTAGAGGCAAGGTGATCCAATACTTCTAAGTCTATTATAGTTCTTAGGTGATCTTCTGAGAAGATCCTTCTCCCACAACTTTCCTTTTTCTGGATTTCTTGAGGAAAACTTCTGGAGCCTGTTGATGCAGATCACGAATGTTTAACTCTGGATTAGTCCCATCCATATTGCATGCTTCCAGATATCTGACAATGATTTCTGGTGAAGCATCTATTTGAGAAAACAGAGGGAAATATTTCAGAGGGACTCTTCTTGATGTGATGACTTCTTTGATTGCAATAATTGGATCCTTCTTAATGTTGTCAATGATTTTCATCTTCTTCAGATTCTAAGCATTGAGAGGTTTTCCAGCACATGCCTCCAGAATGTTGATCTGCTGAGCTTCAGTTAGATATCCTACTAATTAGTTTTCAGTCAGAATATTTGATATCAGCCTACCCAGAGGTATCCAATCCCTCTTAATTCTTTCATCTTCTCTGGTTTCCTTCACACTTGTTCTTAGATGGTTGAATAGTAGATGAGGAAGGATTATTTTTGCCTTTGTTGCAATGAAGTACAACAGAAATTGTTGATCAATGTTGATGTAATCAGGAGAGCTTGTTGGCTTCATATGGTTGATACAACCCAGAATAATTTTTGCCCAAATTCTGAAGTAGTCCTTCAGATCTTTGATTTTGTTAGATGGCTGTCCAGAGGTAAAAATCTCTCTCGAGATTGTTGTTAGGTCATAACATTTCTCTACCATATCGCTGTAACGGATTCCTCTGCTGTTATGACCAATCAACCTTGCAATCAGATCTTCAGTGATTGCAATCTTCTTCCCCATCACATATGAAGTTACTTGACTATTTGATGTTGTTGCACCCCAAAATTTTCCCTCTCATATTTCTCAAGACATTGCAAGAATAATATCCAAATGGCTCAAGATTGCTCAAGATTGCTCAAAAGTTGGACAGTCAAATCATCTCCTAAGGCAGTCAACCTCAAATTAGGGTTTTGTGTTGCATCAAGGTCCTTGCATACAAATGACCTCAATTTCTCCCCAATTTCCTAATATGTTCTCAAGTTCATCCATGTCAAATTGCAAGCCTTGCAGAGGAAGTTTGGTCAGTCAATTGCTCAAGAGGTCCAAAAATTGACTATGCTAGGGCAAAAGTCAACTGTGACCCAAATACAGTCAAACTTCAAGATTTTTTGTCAACATTCTCATTTTGAAGGATATTTCATCATTTTATCAAGGGTTGATCATGATTCATCAAGGATTGCTCAAAATTCATCAAGACTCAAAAGT